GAGAAGAACGGGCCATAGCACTGCTGCTCCCCGAGCAGGGCCTCTGCCGGCGGCGCCTTCCCACAGAACATTCTGGACACCGAAGCGAGAGCGGCCTGCTCCTGCCGCTGCTTCCTTCCTGCGCTGCTTCCTGGCCCCTCAAGCTCGGCCTCCGTTAAGCAAACTCAGCCTGCACGGCATCTGTGCCCACTTCCCCGTAGGTCCACTCCACAGCGAGCTCCAGAACATTCTAGAACATTCATGTCACCAAGCAGGGTCATCTTGCCTGACCCTGTCCTCGCCAGCCTCCCGCTGCAGCTGACCGCGGCCCGCGGGCCCCACCACAGCCCAGCCACTTCCCCACCCAGGCCCAGCCCCTGCCCCTGGCCCTGCCCCTGGCCCTGCCCCTGGCCCTGCTCCAGCCCCAGCCCTGCCCCTGCCCCTGCCCCTGCCCCTGCCCCTGCCCCAGCACCTGCCCCAGCCCCTGCCCCTGCCCCTGCCCCTGCCCCAGCCCTGCCCCAGCCCCAGCCCCAGCCCCAGCCCCAGCCCCTGCCCCAGCCCCTGCCCCTGCCCCAGCCCCTGCCCCTGCCCCTGCCCCTGCCCCTGCCCCAGCCCTGCCCCAGCCCCAGCCCCAGCCCCAGCCCCTGCCTCTGCCCTGCTCCAGCCCTGCCCCTGCCCCAGCGGCCCTGCCCCAGCCCCCGCCCCAGCCCCAGCCCTGCCCCTGCCCCTGCCCCTGCCCCTGCCCCTGCCCCAGCCCTGCCCCAGCCCCAGCCCCAGCCCCAGCCCCTGCCCCAGCCCCAGCCCCAGCCCCAGCCCTGCCCCTGCCCCTGCCCCTGCCCCTGCCCCAGCCCCAGCCCTGCCCCAGCCCCAGCCCCTGCCCCAGCCCTGCCCCTGCCCCTGCCCCTGTCCCAGCCCCTGCCCCTGCCCTGCCCCTGCCCCTGCCCCAGCCCCTGCCCCAGCCCCTGTCCCTGCCCCTGCCCCAGCCCCTGGGGAGTTTCCAGCAAGCCTCACCCCCTCCAGGGGCCACCCCGTCCGGCCACACCAGACCTGCTGGGTGCAAAGCCGGCTGTCACAGCCACACGCCCTGTCCCTGGGCTCTGTGGCATCCCAGGACGAAGGGGAGGAGCTAGCCTTCCTCGTCCCCTCCCCTCCCCTCCCCTCCCTTCCCCTCCCCACCAGGCGGGATGGAGAATCTGACTGCATTTCCTTTTAGCTTCACAAACACGGAATCCCCCGGTTCGCCCCGTCCCCTCCCACGGCAGCTCTGCCCATCCAGGGAGTGGGGGATGGGGGCAAGGCCTCCCACCTCTGGGACCTGCCCCCCGGGGCCCCTCACAGCTGGCTCCCGGGTTTGAACCACACCGGCTGGCCTGGCCCTGCCTGCCTGCCTGGCCTGGGGGGCCACACACAGTCTCCCTCTCGGGGCCTGAACTGAGACCCCCAGGGCGGGCACATCAGGGTGGGCTCTGGGGGCATGCCCAGACCCTGGCACCCCTTCCCTGCCACTCACTCACCCCTGTCCCGGAATTCCTAGCACAGCCGGCTGGGAGCCACCACAGCTACTGCAGACCTAAGCCCCCAGGGGCAAAGCGGCAGCCGGGTGAGGCCGGGGCTCCGAGGTGAGCCGGGGAGGGGGCAGGAAGGAAAGAACAGGCTGTCGTGTGAGGGCGGGGCAGGTGGTGGCCCCGCTCTGGAAGGGGACCCGTGGCTGACTGTGGGCACTGACCGGGGCGGAAAGGTCCCTGGGAAGCTCCGGGGTCGCCGCGGGAGGTCTGGAGGCTTCAGGGGCCCCAGCTCAGGGCAGGGGAGCAGGTGGGGAGAGCAGGCTCCCTACAGGCGAGGGGGTCCGGGGGCGGGGGCTGGGCCAGAGGGGCCAACAGAGTCAGCTCCACCAGAGCCCCGTCCTGCCCCGTGGCCACGCCCACACGTGGACATCAGCGGCCACTGGCCAGAACAGGGTTAGGGTTAGGGTTAGGGTTAGGGTTAGGGTTAGGGTTAGGGTTAGGCGGTGGCGGCTCTGTTCCTGCGGCACTGAGTTCCTCCTGAGTCCCGGAAGATGCGTGCGGGGGAATAAACACGCGTGGCTCTCAAACGTTCTGCCCCCACAGCAAGTTTGTCTTTTAATTCCATTTTGCGTAAAATTTCGGAAGTACCTGTCTCGGTGTGTATTTCATTTTTTTTGTTGTTGTTTAAAAAAATATTGTTGGAGAGACAGAGAGGCTGAGTTGCCAATACTGATTCGCTGTCCAGATGCCCACGGGGCTGGGCTGGGCCAGGACAAAGCAGGGACTGCAGGAACCTGGACACAGCTGCCGGCCGCTGCCTCCCAGAGTCCTCGTTAGCAGGAAGCTGGAGTCAGAGCCGGGCCCAGGCCCTCCCGGACACTTCCTGCCCGCCGACAGCGCCCCCTGCCTCCTCCCCAGGCACAGGTGCCCCCACACCCAAGCCTGCACCCCCTAAGGAAGAAGCAGACGAAGCAGACTGAGCCCCCCAAGGCCGGGGAGCCCCCTCCCCCAGGGCCCTGTCCTGCTCGACAAGCGCCAGGGTGTGCACGCTGATGGCCAAGGTCAAGACCAGGAGCTGCCGGGTTACCCGGGCGGGGCTCGGTGACTCAAGGCCTCGATGGCCAGCCTCCGAGCCCTGGGTCTCCCCCACAGGCCTCTCCTACCTCCCTGAATCCCAGGCCCCTCCCAGTCCAGCACCTGGCTTGTCTCCTGCCAGACTCCAGGGAGGGTCTGTGGCCGTCTGAGCGGGGGACCCCCACGTGCCCCTCAGCCTCGAGGACCAGGCGCAGACCCTGCCGGAGGGCGGCGGCGGCTCCAGGCCCGCTGCACTCCCCACTGGCATTTGTGATTCTGGTTAAACCAGACTGGCCCTCGTTTTCTCTTGTTTAGTTCTGGTTATCTGGTTCTCTTCATCTAATTTGAAAGCCAGAGAGAGAGAGACCTTCCATCCACTGCTTCACTCCCTAAATCCCCACAAACAGCCAGGGCTGGGCCAGGCCAAAGCCAGGAGCCTGGAGCTCCCTGTGGGTCTCCCACGAGGGTGGTGGGGGCCAAGCACGGGCGCCATGGCCTGCTGCCTCCCGGGGTGAGCACTGTGGGGAAGACAGGATAGGAACCAGGCATCCGCGTGCGCACGCGGCGTCCCAAGGAGCAGCCTGGCCGTCTGGCCGAACGCCCAGCTTCCAGGTTCGCATCTGTCCAGACCAGCAGGGAAGTGCTTTGCTCTGGGACTTGGCCCGGTCAGGTGCGCCAGGGCGTGCAAGCCCCGTGTGCAAAGCTGTCACCGTGCCCGGGGTCCCCTCCCCCGCTGCTCTGTAGCCGCCTTGAACACCTGCCCTTCTCACCTCCGGTTTCACAAAAGCCACCTGCCACTCTGGCAACTCCCCAGGGGCTCCACCTGACCCCAGAGCTGAAGAGAGAGGCGGCTGGAGCTGCCGCCACCTGGCATGGCCGCAGCACCGGACCAGGGCGTGCGGGAGGAGGAGTGGCCACGGAACCCCGGCGGCCCCTGGCTCCCTTCGGAAGCCCTCTGCTGCTGCAAACTGCGAAAGCGCTCCAGCCCCTTCCCCCATCACTGCCAGCGCCGCACAGAACCTGCTCTCTTGTCTGCGGGCCAGCGGCGGGCAGCCAGGGCCTCATTCTCACGGCATCAAAACTTCTTTCTCTGGGCGTGGGCGTGTGGCACCGGGAGGTAAGATGCTTCCCGGGACACCCACATCCCGTACCAGAGAGCTGGGTCTAGTCCCGGCGGCTCCACTTCCCATCCAGCTCCCTGCTAACGTGCCTGGGAAGGCAGCAGAAGACGGCCCAGGTGCTTGGGCCCCTGCACCCGTGTGGGAGACCCGGAAGAAGCTCCTGGCTCCTGGCTTCAGCCTGGCCCAGCCCTGGGCATTGTGGCCATTTGGGGCGTGTAGCAGAGGATGGGAGAGTTCTTTCTGTGTGTGTGTCTGTCTGTCTCTCTGCCTGTCAAATAGATAAGTCTTTATATTATTATTATTATTACTGCCATCACCATCGTGAGTAGTAAGGGCTTCTTCCCTGGACCCCTCTGAGGCCTCGCCTGGGCGCCCAGCCCGCCACCCCCTCTTCCTCACAGCACGCAGGGTCCTAGCGCCTCACTGCGCCCCTCACTCCCAGTCCCAGGAAAGCCACAGGCTGTCTGTTTCTCCCCCAGGGCTCCCAGGGCAGGCTCCAGAGGACAGCACGTCAGCCGCTCTCTAGCCGCCCCAGGGCAGAGAGAGGAAGCAAAGGATTCCCGCTAAGGGTGATGACGGGATGACAAGGCACAGGGGACGCCACGGGGCGTGGCCGGCCTGCTGGGACATACTGAGACACTGCCCTCAGGGAGGGGCCGCTCCCACGAGGGAGAAGCCCCCTGGGGGGAGATTCACTGCCCAGCCCACAGACGGGAGCCCCGGGCGGATGGGCAGGGCAAGGCCAGTGAGGACGCCCATCCTGGGGCCGCTCAGGGCTCAGAGGCGAAATCACACATCACCAAGCGGGGTGGGGGGGGAGCAGGGGTCCCGGCATCGGCATTGCAGGGGGAAGAGGCAGCCCCTGGCGGAGGGGCAGGGCCTTGGAGCCCGCATCACTGCCCACTCACAAGGGGTACTGGGCCTGTGGGTCCGGGGACAGAAAGCCACCTGGGGCGGGGGGGGGGGCTTCCTTGGCTTCGGACACAGGCGCACACAGGTGCCTTACCCAGGTTGCACTGCATCGGAGTGTACCCCGAGGGCCGACACCCTGCGCGGGGCCACGGCCGGCTCCGGGCGACCGCAGAGTCACCAGCAGCGGCCGGCTTGGCCGTCCACTGGCTGCCCGGCGGCCCCACCGCGCGGCGACTCTGGCAGGGTGGGTGCGGGGCCCCAGGCCTGCGCCACGTCCCGCCCCCTGCCCCCCTCCCCCGCCCAGCTGCCGGCGCGCACGCGGCTGCTCCGCGCGCGGTCTCGGCCCGCAAGGAGGCAGGGCCTGTCCCCAAGGTCACGGCCCCGGGGAGGCCCCGCGGGCCGCACTCACCCGCCCTGGCCTTCCTCTTCCTCCCCAGCGTGCCCAGCCGGCCCAGGAACGAGTCGTCCGCCTTCATCCCGCGGGCCCGCGTCGGGGGCGAGCGCGGCGGCGCGGCGGACATGGGCCCCGCTCGCCGGTCCCGGTCGCCGGTCGCCGGTCACAGGTCGCCGCCCGCCGGGGAGTGGCCGAGGGCGCCGCCCCGCCCGCCCCGCGCCCGCCCCCTGCGCCACGGAGCCGCCCTCGGCCAGAGAGGAGTCGGAGTGGGGCTGGGACCCCCGCCCCCCCCCCGGCCCGGCTCCGCCCCGCCCAGTGCCTCCGCGGGGGGGTGGGGGGCGGCCGGGAACCGAGTGGGTGTGTGATCTCGTCGCGAACTCCCTGCAGGATCCGAGTGGGCCAGGAGGCTCCTCGGGGACTGGGACTCCCGCGGGGCCGCCCCCGTGGGCGAATCCGGGGCCCCAGCAGAGCGTGGGCGCAGGGGCAGGGGCCGGGCCCGGGCCTTGTCCTGATGGCCGCGAGGGGGTCTGGGGGCTCCGCAGGCGGACCCTGGTGGTGATGCGCGTCCCGTGGGGCGGAGGGGGGCCAAGGCAGGGAGCAGGAGGCCGACAGCGGGACTCGAGCCTGTGGAGGCCCCGCCCCCACCCCAGGCGCTGTCCGAAGCCCCTCCACGAAGGCCCAGGGTGTGGGCTGAGGTTGTGCGGGGCGGGGCCTCCAGTTCCGCACAGGGAACTGGCAGGTGGGTGTCGGGGCTCCTGGGGGGCGGGGCTCGAGGATTCAGCGTTGCCTCCAGGAGTTTGAGCCAGAGGCCAGGTGTCAGCGCGGTCATGTGGGGAGGGCCAGAGCCACAGGGACCTTCGGAGGGGAAGGAAGGGGACAGAGCTGGGGGCGGGGCTTGAGGACACCGACCTGGCTCAGGGTGAAGTGACCGCTTCCCTTCCCTCCCTTGGCAGAGGAAGAGAAATCTCCAGGCAGGGGTGCGGGAGAGCGCTGGTGTACCGGGGTCCTGGGGCAGGGGTGCGGGGGCCACACGCGGGCGGCCGGGCAGCACACGCAGGGCAGCACACGCAGGTGGGAACCACCACACGGGCAGCCGGGCAGCACACGCAGGGCAGCACACGCGGGCGGCAGGGCGGCACACGCAGGGCGGCACACACAGGTGGGAACCACCACACGGGCAGCACATGCAGGACAGCACACACAGGTGGGAACCACCACACGGGCGGCACATGCAGGGCAGCACACGCAGGGCGGCACACACAGGCAGCCGAGTGGCACACACAGGGCAGCACACGCGGGCAGCCGGGAGGCACACGCAGGACAGCACACGCGAGTGGGAATCACCACATGGGCGGTACACGCAGGGCGGCACACGCAGGCAGCCGGGAGGCACACACAGGGCAGCACACGCAGGACAGCACACGCGGGTGGGAACCACCACACGGGCGGCCGGGCGGCACACACAGGTGGGAACCACCACACGGGCAGCACACGCAGGCAGCCGGGAGGCACACGCAGGGCAGCACACGCGGGTGGGAACCACCACACGGGCGGCACACGCAGGGCGGCACACACAGGGCAGCACACGCGGGTGGGAACCACCACACGGGCGGCACACGCAGGGCGGCACACGCAGGGCGGCACACGCGGGTGGGAACCACCACACGGGCGGCACACGCAGGGCGGCACACACGGGTGGGAACCATGCACACAGGCGGCACACGCAGGGCGGCACACGCGGGCAGCCCCGGGCACAGAAGCTCCTCCTCGGGGTCAGCGGCAGCAGAACCTCGCAGGCCTCGTGCTCAGATCCAGAGTCCTGCCGGTGCCGGCCTGCGAGCCGTGGCTGGTGGCGGCACCACCCCGAGCCCCGCCTCTGTCCTCACGTGGCGTCCCGACGTCCCCGCCATGTGCACATCGGCGTCCGGAGTTCCCCTCTTTATGAAGACGTCGTCGGCCGGGACTGGGGCCCACCTTGGCTGTCCACAAAGACCCCACGTCCGCTCACACTCACGGGGTGGCGTCCGCACTGGCCCACTGGGAGGGGCCGCAGGCAGTGGGAGGCAGCATGGCGGCTCGGGCAGGTGGGCTCTGCCTCCCCCTGGGACCCCGGCTGGAGCTCTGGCTCCTGGTGTCAGCCAGGCCCAGCCCTGGCCTTGGCAGGCATTTGGGGAGTGAGCCGAGGAGGGGAGCGCCCTGGGTGCCTTTCTCTGCCTCTGTTTCTCCGCCTCTCCAATATTGTTTAATGGTTTTTTGTTGTTGTTGTTGTTTTGTTTTTGACAGGCAGAGTTAGACAGTGAGAGAGAGAGACAGAGAGAGAGAGAAAGGTCTTCCTTCCGTTGGCCCAGCCCCCTGGTCTCCCATGGGGTGCAGGGCCCAAGCACCTGGGCCATCCTCCACTGCACTCCCGGGCCACAGCAGAGAGCTGGCCTGGAAGAGGGGCAACCGGGACAGAATCCGGCACCCCGACCGGGACTAGAACCCGGTGTGCCGGCGCCGCAGGTGGAGGATCAGCCCGGCGAGCCGCGGCGCCGGCCGGTTAACGTGCTTTAAGCTTTCCTCCCCGCAAGAACATCCCTAAAGCAGACCAAGTCTATCCGCTCATTTCAAGCAGAGCTCGGACACCGACTCGTTCTAAAACATGCACGTGTGTGTATCTGAAAGGCAGGCTGACAGAGAGGGACACACGCGAGGGGTCTTCCATCCACTGGTCTCTGGTGGCCGCAACAGCTGGGACTGGGCCAGGGCGAGCCAGGAGCCTGCAGCTCCATCCGGGTCTCCCACGTGGGTGCAGGGGCTCAAGCGCTTGGGCCGTCTCCGCCACTCTCCCGGGTGCCTGAGCAGGGACCCGGATGGGACGCAGCTCCTTGGGTTTGCTGGCATCAGGAGCAGAGGCTGCGCCACAGCGCTGTCCCTGCCCCCCACCCCCAGGGATTCCTGGCAGGAAACATGTAGACCTGCTCTGTATTTTATTAAAAAATGGAATTATCTTCAAATGCAAGCAAGGTGTTTATTACTAGGACCCCCAGGCGAGGCGCCGGCCTCTGGATCGGGGTTTTTTTCTGGTTCCTCCCAGGGGGAGTCGACAGCCTGGGCTCGGCCGGATGTTTGCCCCAGGCGACTGCTCACTCCCTGGGCCCTGTAGCTGCCTCCCTCTGCGCTGACCCCAGGGCTGTGAGCTAATTTGCATTTTTTCTGAGTGAGGAGAGAAGCAAGGACCCAATGCCCCCGCTTCTCCCTCCCTGCTGGCCTGAGCCTCGAGGAATTCCCGAGGCTGGCGCTCCCCCCAGGGCAGCCCAGCCAAAACCCGGCGTCATCGCCCTGCGGAGTGGCGGGAGGGCTCGTTTCCAGTGAAAGAGCGAGAACTCGACGAGATGAGACGCGGGCATGGGGTGCCGGGGCTTCCGCTCCCTGCGCCCGCGGCGTGCACCGTCCCGGGGGACGAGCATCACAGCCAGGCCGCTGCAGCCACACCTACCACCGAAACCATCCGCGTGGCTTTGCAGGGCCCAGTTCCCACGAGCACCAGGGAGCCAACGTCTGCGCCATGCCTGGGCTGGGCCCCCTCCGTCATCGCATCCGTGGACGGTGAGCCGCGGGGCAAAGCCAGTGGAAGACCTGGGGCCTCCACACGGAGCCAAAGCCGGGGCCACAAACTCCATCCAAGCCAGGGGCCCACCTCACTGCTTTCCCAGGTGCATTTGCAGGACGCTGGATCAGAAGTGGGGCAGCCAGGACTCAAACCAGCCCTCGGATGCCAGCGCTGACTCCTTATGGAACCAACTTGTCCTAATAACTTCCGCATAAGCCAACCTAATAGCCTTAGAAGTCGAGGGGCAGGAGAACAGGTCGACCAGTTGGTCTATGCACTACCATGCAACTAAAATACTCAAATCAAGGTGTGTGGGTGGAGGAAAGAAGCCGGCTACAGACACAGAGCATGGACCGTGGGCATCCACTTATTGCAAGTTCGAGAGCAGGCCCTTGGGCTGTGTGTTGAGAGTGGACTCCCGGGGGACAGAGGGCCCTGCCTGGACGTGGGTGTCCTGCTCTTGGGGGAAGCCACACAGGCGTGCACACCCCTGAGAAGCCAGCACACCGGGCACTGCAGACCTGTGCGATTCGCTGGACACGGATCAGACCTGGACAGAGCCCTGCGGGCGCAAGCCGAGGAGGGACCCCTGGTGGCCGTGTTTGTGCCTTGCCGCCGGGTTCGTCATGTACCACTGTCAGCTTAGAGGCGGCCCCGGCTCCGGACTTCCGTTTCCTTAGCTGAAAACAAGGTCACAGCCTTCCAAAGAGGCAACCCTGGCCCCTCTCTCCCTGGAGGGAAGGCCCAGGCTGTGAGCTGTGTCCCCGTGTGGCTCATTGTCTAACCTCCGAGCAAGTCAAGGAGTCAGAAGTGTACGCTGGGGGGGACGAACCCGATTCCCAGGAGGAGCCGCCGCCCCACCGCCCCAGGGGCGGGGGTGCTGGGCCTCCCGCGGTCTCTCTCACTGCCCCGGGGGTCCTGGCACCTGCACGAGCAGTGCTGTGTGATCCGTCCTCTCATTCCGCGCTGCGGCGAGGCAGGAAGCCAAGAGCCGGAAATGCTGACCAAGCCCGCCTGGACTTTCAGAAGTGAGGCGGTGACGCTTCCCGCCAGCCTGCGCGTGAGGCTTTGACTCGGCGAACGTGGGCCCTCGTCCGCCAGCAGCACTCCGGGTGTTCCCTACGCAGGAGGCAAGCAAAGCCGCAGGGGCCCTTCACCCCTTTCTTCCTAACCGAGGGGGCAGTGGACGACTGGATGCCAAGTGTTCACCCCCAGTCATCTGTGGGGAACAGTCGGGAACGCCCCGAAAGACTGCATCCCCCTCAAAAGAGGCCACCCCGCCTGGCTTTGGAGAGAAGGGGGCGCCGGCTCCTTGTGCCTCCTGGGCGCCCACGCCTCCGTCCGACGTCTTCCACCGCGCAGCACCAGCCGGCACCACCCACACCGGACTTTGCAAAGCGCCAGGACCCGGGACCCGCCGTCTGGACGCTGAGGGGCTACGCTGACTCTTTGCGGTGTCAGCAACGCGTTCTTGACAGGCAGGCCGACCACAACGCTGCATCAGGTGCACGTCCAGGAGCCGCGGGTTAGGCTGCCTCTGGGGACGACACTGTACCAGCGCGCTGGCTGCACTCCGGCGCCTCCGCTCCCCATCCAGCTCCCT